GGTGGCTGACCTTGTTCTTCTCCCACCTGGCCGAACCACTGCCAGCTCTTGCTGGAAAGACTGAAGAGCCTCCCATGAGGTCTTCCAGCTTCTCTCGCCTCTGACCTTTCCCCTCTGCAGGAAGGCAGACCATTACAAAATGTGGCTCTGGTCATGGCTCTCCCTCGCTCCCCTGGTACTCCCAGCTCGGCCTCCCTGCCCTCCCCCTTCCACCTCCTAAACCTGGGAGAAAAAGGATGTATCCGGGCCGAGTGCCCTGCTGGGCCGCCCCTCAGTGCAGCATCATGTCCCAGCCTGCTGCCTGCCCCCACCTACCCTCTCTCACCCCCTGCCACACTCCTCCGGCCCCCTGCTCCTGTGACTTCCTGTTCCTGGAGAGCCGGGTTCTCAGTCTGGCTTTGCACCCCGTGTGCTCTCCTCCTAGAACACCATCTGCCCACCTATCTCCCCCCATGTTGTCCCACCAACTCCTCATGTGCTCCTGGTCTCAGCTTCGGGGACTGTTTCCTGATGCTGCGCTAGGGGAGGTCGCCCTGCCCTTCCTCATCAGGACCCTCAGCGCCCATGCCCACCTTCCTCACCAGGAGTGAGTGAGCAGCCCCAGCGTGCCAGGCCCCCTGACGTGTTTCTGCCTCTGGTCCGACCCCTTCTCCCACCTTTCTGTCTGCCCCCACAGCAGTCTTCCTGAGACAAATATGAGCCATCATTCTGCTGTTCCAACACCCTGAGCTCTATAAGAAACCCACCCTAAAAAACAAACAACCCCACCCTATCCTCCAGGCCCAACCCAAAGCTCCTTCCCTCCAGAAGGAGCGCCCACACTTCACAATCACACTTGGCAAGTTTCACTTCACCAAGTCATTGGGGCCAGGACAACCCCCTAGCACACTGCGTGCTTGGGGGCTGGTGGACCCCTCGTCCTGGTCACATGGGCGCAGCAGCAGAGAAATGGAGTCTGTATCCAGACACCAGAGCCCAGGGGTCAGGGATACCACTACTATTTTGGCAAGAAAGGAGGGCGTTGGCAGGCCATCTGAGCTGGGTTTCCTGACCTCGATCTAGGGACGGCTGCAGCTGCGATTCCAAAAGAGAAGACACAAAGGCAATTTTTTCTTTCTTTTTTACTTAAAAAGGCCTTGGTGGCAGGAATATAGTGTAAAAATCATTGGAAAAACTAAAAGGCATCGATACATATCCGAATATACACTTTGTACATAAATTACATTTCCTTTAGTCTTTCTGAGTGAGGTCCTGATTCAGCACTGAGGTCTAGTAATTCAGAGGTCCCGGCAGCTGCACGTTCAGGCCGGCATAGTCCACCATGTACATGGGCCATTGCTAGAGAGAGGGGGACAAACGGTCCCGGTTAGGATTCCAGGTGATGCAGGAAGAACACCAGAACCCTTAGCTTCGCTTTCTGAAGGGCTTCCTCGGATGCTGAAGGCCCAGAGAAGAGACATGGCCTGCCCGAGGCCACACAGTCCGTCAGTAGCCACAGACCCTAAGCTGGAGCCTTCTGGCCTGTTCCCACTTGTGTCTCAGGGACTAATTGTGTGGACCAGACAGGAGGGCCAGAGGGAACTAGCGATCGGCTCAGAACTCCCATCCACAGCCTCCTCCAGGCCTCACACTCCCAAGAAGCTGCCCTGTCTCTCTGGGACGTGGGGGGAGCACCCAAATTACCCAGGTAGGGAGAAAGGCAAAGCCTGAACTTTGGGGTTTTCCAGGAACGGAATGAAGGGAAACATGGTCAAAGGGTAAAGAAATCCTGAACTATAGGAGGAAGAGAAAAAAAAAAAATCTATAACTATGTATGTTAACTACTTATTGTGGTGATCATTTCACAATATATACAAATATTGGATCATTACGTTGTACACCTGAAACTAATATAACGTAGGGCAATTGTACCTTAAAAAAAAAAAAAAATCTTTTCTAAATGTGTTCCAATATTCTTCCCATTTGGATTCAGGATTTCCAAGGTAATATTTTGAAATCAGAAAGAACTCTCCAGCGTCTGCCCCTAAGGAGGCTTTCCTGTTGAGGGGGAGAAAACCAAAGCCAGCCACGTGGCAGAGCAGGCAGGGCTCTGCAAGAGGTTCTCCAGCCGCCACTTGCTGTAGTGAGGTCACACTGTGGAGAGCACCCTCATCTCCCAGGGCTGTGCTGGGGCTGGTGCTGGAGACGTGAGCAGAGATTAGCTTAGTATCTGACTCTCCCCCCAAAATGGGGACTCTGCTCGGGGTCGTGGGCAGGTACTACTGGGGGAGTGGACAGGTTCTCTTCCTCTCTCAGCCTTGGCTCGCCAGTGGGAAAGGGATTGTCTGCCGGGGCAACTGTGAGGTCCTGATGAGCGGGTTGGACCACCTTGTGGGTAGATCAGGCAGCTGTGTCTGCAACCCCAGGCTGTGGAGCCCACTCAGAGTCCAGTGCCTCCCCGCACCCGGAACCCACACCCCACAGTGGACGGCCCTGCCCGAGTGCAGGGCGAAGGCCAGAGAGAAGAGCGCTCAGGTCCAGATCTGTGCAACTTTACCACGAGTGAGATCTGGTTGGTGGTTGCCACGGACTCCGGGTTGGAGGATGAGGAAGAGGAAGACGAGGAGGAAGAGGAGACCGAGTTTCCTTCGGAGACCCGCTTTCTCTTGCGCTTGGGGATGCTGCTGTCTTTGGCTGGTGGGAGGAAAGGTTGCTGACACCAGATGCCAAGACTGTGTCTTGTCTTTACCAACCCCTTTGGGGAGGGCCTTTGTGTCAGGTTTAGAGTCCCCTTTTCACCACTCAAGACTCCCAACCCACCAGAGGCCACTCTCTCCAGCCTCCTTCCCTAACTAGGCCCCGCAGTCCATTCGTCCACCTCTTGCTCCTGCTTACCCGTCTGCCTTTGCTAACACTATATCCTCACCCCCAGGGAGGCCTCCCCAGAACTCCCAGAATTCCTCTGGGGCCCAGAATCCCATGGTGAAAAGCATGGCTTCCCGAGGGCATTGGGGAGAGTCGTTACTAGGTGTACCGGTTACTAGTGCAGATTTTTGTCAATAGATGGAGTTATACATATGTTGACATATATGCCATTTGATATGTATGCTATCTGAAGGTTTTAACATCATAGATATTTTTATACTTAAAAATGTCGAATTTTGTGCCAAAAACATTTGTGGAAAGTTTTGATTGATTATTTTGAAGAAAAGTGCTGTTGAAAGTTATCGTATGCTTCAGGAAGTTTATGGTGAACATGCTCCATCTCAAGATACTTGTGAACGCTGGTTTAAATGCTTTGGAAGTGGTGATTTCGATGTGAAAGACAAAGAACGTCTAGGTCAATCAAAAAAGTTTGAAAACCAATAATTACAAGCATTATTGGATGAAGATGTGTCAAACTCAAAAACAACTTGCAGAAAGATTAAATGTTGCTCAGCAAACAATTTCTGATCATTTAGAAGCAACGGGAAAGATTTTAAAGGAAGGGAAATGGGTGCCACGGCAACTGAACGAAAAGACAAATGGAAAACCGAAAAGTCATCAGTAAAATGATGCTTCAACGGCACAAAAGAAAGTGTTTTTTGCATCGAATTGTAACTGGAGATGAAAAGTGGATTTATTTTGAGAATCCCAAATGCACAAAATCAGGGGATGATCCAGGTCAACCACTAACATCGACTGCAAGGCCAAATCGCTTCAGAAAGAAGACAATGCTCTGTGTTTGATGGGATCAGGAAGTATGGAGTATTATGAGCTTCTAAAACCAGGTGAAACCGTTAATACTGATTGACACCGATAACAAATAATCAATTTGAACCATGCTTTGATCGTAAAGTGAGAAGACACAGCAAAGTCATTTTGCTTCATGATGATGCACCATCACACACTTCAAAACCAGTTAAAGACACATTAAAAGATCTTGCTTGGGAAGTATCAACCCATCCGCCATATTCACCAGACCTTGCTCCTTCAGATTACCACTTGTTCCCATCTATTGAAAAAAATCTGCATTGGTAACCGGTACACCTAGTAAATGTCCCTGCGCCTTCCTTTCCTTGCCAGTAAAATGTAAGTAAGGTTCTTCAGGGCTGCTGGGCGGGTCCCGTGAGATGCTGTGCATGGTCTCCTGTAAATACTCAGAAACTGAGAATTGGTATCGATATTATTGCTACTGTCCCTGCATGACAACCCGAACCTCTCAGATTGACAGTTCACAGGGGCCAGGAGACAAGGCAGTGAGTGCCCCAGTGTAGAGAGCTCCGGTTTAGAGCCAGAAGTCCTATGTTCAAAGTTCACGGCTGCCACCTACCCTGTGGGTGACCCTGGGAAACTGAGAAAGCTCTTTGAGCTGAAAGTGGACAACCAGGTGCTGCGAGACTCCAGGAGGTTGTGTGTGAAAGAGCCCGAGACCGAGCCCGCACAGGGCAGGTCTCGGCAGGTTCTGCTGCTGCTGAATTAAATTGATGTGAGGATCTAAGTTTTATTAAAAAAAAAAAAAATCTGCAACTGTGCACTACACAAGCGGGGCTTGAGGCTTGACTGAGTAACAGGCTACTGAGCAGAATCTGACGACAGCCCACGAGAAGGGTTTTAACGACAGTGTGAGGGTAGGCTGGGCCCAGGGCAATTCCTTCTCTGGCTGGTGAAGAGAAACGGGGGATCTGTGATGTGATAGAAACAGAGACCCCGGGAAACAGAAGACTCTGGAGGCAGGGCTGGCTTAGGCTGTGAGCCGGGGGGAGGGGATTTTGTGGGAGGCAGGTGGGCGCTGCTGGAGGCTGGCTGGGCCCCCTGGATGCTACCCCAGGCCCTGGGCTTTAGAAACATCCCTTTGGCAGTCTCCCTGGCCAGGGGGTGGGGGTGGGGGATGTAAGTGACGGCATCTACCTCTGATAATGTCCCAAACTCTCCTCTTGGAGGCCTTCTCAGGGCCCTGTGTCTCTGCCTTTGACCTGGGAGAAGCTCTCAATCCCAATCACCTCCCTCCCCTGAGTGCCTGGTGCCCTGCTGGGCCTTGGTAATGGGCACATGGTAGGAGGAGGTGGTCTCTGGTTGGGCTGTGCCGCCTCAGGCAGTGGAGTCCCAGGTGAACCCTAACCTATGGGCAGGCGGGCCTCAGGTCTCAGGCTGGGGTGGGGTGGCCTTGCTGAACCCCACTACTCTCCCCACGGAACAGCCATAGACCACAGAGGCCTGCGGTTCAGATGGATAACCTGCACCCTGGGCTCTAGGCAGCCACCAACTCACTGCATGGCCTCGGCCAGTCCTTCCTCCACTCTGGGCTCCGTTTCCCAGCCGAACAAAGAGGCCACCCCTCCCCATAATCGTCCTGAGTGCTATCGCACACCTTCTCAGTCACAACGGACGTACAAGACCGTCTCCCCGGTCCCTGTGAACTGAAAGGCTCTGAAAGCCCAGAGGCCGGTGCAGGCACGGGTCCTGCCAATGCAAGTGGAATCGAGGGGGGGGGGGTGTGTCCAGCCAGTCTCAGAAATACCTGGTTACCTTGCTCCTGCCAATCATGTCACTCCTTCTGGAGGGCCCCTTGGGAATGCACATGGATGACCTTTAAATTAATGTCAGCTGAGTCTGAGGTGACTGGCAGGGCCTTCCAGGAAACAGCCTCCCAAATGTTAAGTACTGATTTCTTATCTTTATCCCTGTGCTTGGAATGAGGAACAAATAGGACCTTGACTCACCCAAGTCTTGATATGCTAAATCCGAGGAATGAGGGAATGAGTAGGACCTTGACCTTAAACCCCCCTGTGGAAATCAATAAATGCGCTGTGTTGTCTGTGGTGGGTTTTGACTGTCCCTCCATCAGAGTGACAGCCCTCCACCTGGCACCCAGCTTGATGAATCTATTTCTGCCTCTTGTCTCTTTCTTTTATTTCTTAACCCCCAGCTCCTCCACTCAGGAACCTGTCCTTCTCCCTTTCTGTGCGGAACGTGGAAAAAGGAGAAGCACCCATCGCACCCAGTCACTTTCATGACCCTATCTGAGGTCCCCTCCTGGCTCCAGCCGGCCCCTCATCCTCTCTCTCCAGTTGATCCGACACCCTCAGCTGCGGCAGGGACCCCCTCCAAGGGCACCTACAGGCTTCCTGGGGCCTTTTGGGAGGGCGGGCCCTGCAGATGGAGATCTCAGGTTACCTGGAGGAGTTACTGAGCAGGAGGGACAGACTGTTCTCTACATGGCCAGACACTTGCTGCATGCCACCTGTTCTATGCCCGCAGGTCGGTCCCTGCAAGGCAGAAGGGTGCCTTCTTCGGCCTCTGACTTACCTGGCACCTTGGCATCATTGCAGATTTCTGCAAAAGGTCTGAAAAAGAAATGAGGGGGCAGTCAGAAAATGAGGGTTCTCTTCCTTCTCACTTGATATGCCCCGCATACGAACATCTCTTGCGAGATGAGAAGCCACCACTGCCGCTGGAGGGCAGCCAGGGAAGACCTGGATGGAGATGGTCAGCACTCCCCTCCCCACAGAGCAGGCAGGATGGCCAGCCTGGTCTCTATTAAGTGCCGTGTGTCAGGCCAATGACCCCTAGAGGCCTGGTTCCCTCATCTCCAAAGCGAGGGATCAGAAATGTATGGCTCAGTTTATGTCAATAGATATTCATCACAGCATTATTATTATTATTATTACAAATCTTTTATTTTTTTATTTTATTTATTATTTTACTTGCAGCATGATTAATATGAACCAAAAAAATTGAGATGCAACTCGAATGTCCATCTGTAGAGACCATATGGCCCATCGTACGGTCATTAAGGGAACTATCATGGACACAAATAGTGCTCAAGTGCAACCAAGACAGCCAGACAGGAGACATCAAGTTTTATTTAGTCTACAGACGAACACGGTGACCTCCGTTTCATTGTCTCCAGAAGCCTGTCTCAGAGGTATGAGGACAAAGTGGAGGCAGGGCTGGAAAGCCCCTGCCTGTCTGTGGTGATTTCTCTGGGAGCTCAGCCTGTGGGGGGTGTGTGTGTGTGTGTGTGTGTGTGTGTGTGTGTGTGTGTGATGAAACCTCTATTCTTCATTGGAGACCTTTCTGAATGATTTGATGTTTTGGTACACATCCAAATCTCATTTTATTTTTAAAACTCAAAAGGAAATATGCGTAGGGGAAAGATCAATGTGAACTCTGAAGAGGAGAGTTGTGGATTATCTTCTTTTCTTCTACCTTTTTAGGTTTCCCTGCTTTGTTTTTAAATCTGAAAATAATCAAATAAACTATTCTATTTAAAATATTATAAGGCTATATGGCAAAATAGGGACAAAAACAAATAAGAATAAAATACCTCTGGGTGATTTAATGCCATTAAAATTATATTGCCATTAAAATGGGTAAAAATTAATGATAAAGTCAGAAAGTCAAATTTAATTCAAAATTTAAAAATAAACAAACACCCATGACTGTTGTGGATGTGTGTTTTAGCAGAAAGGGGTTGTAATCAGGACACCTGGTGATACAGACTAAATGTCTGTGTCCCCCAAATTCAATGTTGCAACCTAGTTGCCAAGGTGACGGTATTAGAAGGTGATTAGGTCCCGAGGGCGGAGCCGTGGTGAATGGGATTGATCCTTATAGAAGAGGTCCCAGAGAGCTCCCTTGTCCCTTCCACCGTGTGAGGACACAAGGAGAAGGTGGCCATCTGTAAACCAGAGAGTGGGCCCTCACCAGACACTGGATCTGCGGGTACCTTCCCAGCCCTCAGAACTATAATATGAGAAATACATTTCTGTTAGGCCACCTGGCCTATTGTATTGTTACAGCGGCCTGGACAGGCTAAGATCCCTGTGTCTGGAACCACATTGACCCACACTGACTTTCACCGCCCCTTCCCTCGATCTGGGTACCAGTTTTCTGAGCTTTAAGATTCCAGTGCTAAGCTAGCAGGCCTCCCGGATCCTGTGCAAGTACATGATAGGTCTCTCAATCTCCCCCTCCCCTTCCCCAGTCTAGGCTGGGCCTGCTGGGGGATTCCCTTCCCAGATCCAGGCAGCACCCTCTCCCCGGCCCTCAGCCACTCTCCCACCTGGCCTCAGGGGCAGGGCACTCACTGGAGCTGGTTGATGATGACCATGCGGACATGCTCCCGGGCCTTCAGGATCTTCTCCAGCCGGTGGATGTCGTATGTGTTGGGGTTCCGGAAAGGGATGTCGTCAGGCAGGCCTGTGACCTCGACGGCATCTGGGCTGTCCCGGATCAGTTTGTAAGGGACCAGCACAGGCCGGTTCAGGCCCAGGGCCTCACCTAGAGGTCACAGGGGGTCAGGGTAAGGAGATGTCCCCTGTGAAGGCCAAGCCCTCTGGGAGAGGGCTGGAACCCGGCAGGGTCCAGCGCAGTAGCCATCACAACTCCAGATAGTTAAAAAGTCAACACAGCTCTGACTGGTTTGGCTCGGTGAATAGAGCGTCAGCTTGCGGACTGTAAGGTCTCAGGTTCAATTCCGGTCAAGGGCATGTGCCTTGGTTGCGGGCACATCCCCAGTGCGGGGGTGTGCAGGAGGCAACTGATAGATGTTTCTCTCTCATCGATGTTTCTAACTCTCTATCCCTCTCCCTTCCTCTCTGTAAAAAGAAAAATCAATAAAAAATATATATATTAAAAAAAAGTCATCACAAACACACCATTTATCCAATTAGCAAAACTACAAATCTAATACCCAATGCTGATAATGAAACAGGTGCTGTCACAGGTGCCGGGTGCAACGATTTGTCAAATGTGCACACCGGGACCCGACAAATGAGGACTTGACAGCTGCTTAAAACCCACTATTTTCATTTAGAAAAAATTAAGTCCTTAAGTATTATGCATGAAGTGATGTAATGTCTTGGGTTAATTTTAAAGTATTACACATATCCAAGTGAGTATGCAGAAACAGATAAAACGAGTCTGGCAAAATGTGGGTAATCACAGAAGCCGGGTGTGAGTTACGGGGTGGGCCGCTAGGTCATTCTTCCTGCTTTTGTGTATGTTTGAAGACAGGTTCCAAAATAAAAAGTGAAAAAGACAACAGCACAACAACACCCCCCCCCCCCCCCCCCCCCCCCCCCCGTGGCTTCCCACTTACTCTCAAAGCGAAACCCTGACTCGCCTCAGGCCTGCCCGCCTCCCTGCCGCACGGGACTCTGGCCCACCTGCGCGCTCTGCTCCTGGCCTCCGCCCTCCCACCGGGCCCTCTGCCTGGCAAGCTTTCGCCCCAGTGTCTGTCCCCTCTGGACATTACAGTCTCAGCCGCAACACCCCCTCCTCGAGAGGCTTTCCTGATCACTAACCGGGAGGCCTCAGCCTCCCAACTCCTAACCCGCCCGCTCATTTCTGCCTTTTCTTCTCTCCCTGAAATTGTTCTCTGTAAAAAATTTACTGTATGCCTCCTCTGCTACAACGCAAAATGGAGACAACACAAAGTTCATCACAGGTCAGTGTCAATGCATGTAGAGCCCGTGGTACAGCCTGCCACTCAATAATCTAGAAAGTGCTGTATCGCCCTAACTGGTTTGGCTCAGTGGATAGAGCGTCGGCCTGCAGAATGAAAGGTCGCAGGTTTGATTCCGGTCAAGGGCATGTACCTGGCACATCCCCAGTAGAGCGTGTGCAGGAGGCAGCTGATGGCTGATTCTGTCCCATCGATGTTTCTAACTCTCTATCCCTCCCCCTTCCTCTCTGTAAAAAAATCAATAATAAATATATAAAAAGAAAGTGCTGTATCAATGGTAACTGTATTAACGGTTCCACCCTGGGCTCGGCCTTCAGCACAGGGCCTCGCCTCTCCTGGCTCTCATCTTCCCATGCCCATCTCCAGCCGGGGCCTGGACCCCTGATGGCCGGGGCAGACTGCTTCCTCTGGAGTCCTCAGGGCTGAGCTGAGCACTGGCCGGGCAGACGGGCATGCGCATAAGTAAGTACTTGGCCATGGGCCATGGCCTCTGCCACAAGCCCAGGCCTGGAGGCGCAGAAATGCTGACTGCATACCACAGACTGGTTCTCTCCCTCCTCAGAAAGGGCCACGGAGGGGCCAGTTCCCATCCATCACCGGCAGAGCAACTATGCCCTAGCGAGCTGGCAGGCCGGCTGGGGGCAACTGGAGGCCATGCTGGCTGCAGAGGGAGGAGGGGCCACCCAGGAAGTCTGGCCCCACAGACCCTGCCCCAGGGGCCCTGCCCGCGGGAAACTGACCGTATTTCTCATTGAAGAGCTCCTTCACCTGCTCCCGAAGGATCACCTTCTCCCCAAGTCTGTTGGCATCATCTTCATCTATAAGAGGAAGACAAGGGGCATGAGGGTTGGCATGGGCTTGGCCACTGCACCTGCTCCTTCTCCCATGTGGCACCCCTCACCCTCATCAGCTGGAGCAGTCTCTCCAGGCCCCATCCACTCCCCTGCAGCCAGCTTCGGTCCCCATCCATCCATCCACCCACCCATCCATCCATCCATCCATCCACCCACCCCTCATTCTCTGAACAGCTCCTCCAGCACAGGCCCCGTGTGCAGCAGGAACAGCCTGGAGAGAGAGAGGCAGGGCCCCTCCACTGAGGCACTCACCGCGCAGAGGGGCAGCACACAGTCCCAGCACCCACCCAGAAGAAACTCCTTCAAGGAGACATGGGGCATGAATCGTGCAAGTCCAGAGAGGCCCCCTGGGAGAGCCAGCTGTTTCAGGGCTGTCTCTCCTTCTCTTAGAAGGCTGGGAAGGGTGGGGTGGGGCTGGGAAAAGGCACCCAGGCAGAAGGACTGGCTCATGCATGGCACCAAAGGGTGCAAGGTCACAGCATCCTGGATGTGGTGGGTGCCCAGGTTGGTGCTAGGGGAAGTGGCTGTGATGGGTCCAGCAGTGGGTACCGGTGTGACTGAACTGGACTAACAGGCACTCACCTTGCCTGCCTCACAGTCCACCAACCCCAGGGAGACAGAACGCACCAGGCAGTGAGGCTGTGCACCCTTTCTGCCAGGGCAGCTCTTCATGGGGCTTGGACCTTGTGTTCCCCTCACCCCTCTCCTAGGCTGAGAAAAGCAGTGGGGTGAGGGGAACCCCAGTGACAGGGCCTGGGCTGGGGGATTGGAGTGTAGGAGAGGCCAGGGGGGTGGATGGCATGAGGAGGGTCCCGGGAGAGCAGGCTGCTGGCTCGTGGCCTGAGCTGGGGAGAGAGCTGGGGTTCCAGGAAAGGCACTGTGCCCCGTCACACAGGAACTCAGTAACCACACTGGCCTCGGCCAGGGTGGGGGCGGAGCTGGACACTGGCGGGGAGCCAGGGCCTGGGAGATAAGGG